TTGATTGGAGGGGCCGCCCCCTCTATATCGAAAAAAAGCCTATAATTTTTTATTTCTTCATTTCCAAACACTGGAATCGTCTTAAAGTACAATGGCATACTTTATAGGAGGTTTTTGTGCGCTTTAACAAGTTTTTAGGACGCTTTTAAAATAAAGTATTATATTAGTTATTTTATACGACACTATTTGAAAAAGTGTCTTATAAACATAAATATCCTATAAAAAGTTGGGTTTATAGGAAATTTATCAAAATTGTCTTATATAAAATAGTTAATAAAACACTTATTTTAGAAGTGTCCTAAAAAGTTGTTGAAATGCACAAAATCAACTTATAAACATATTGTAACATTTTGAGATGAATGTTATAATTTGTTCCTATAAATTTAAGTTCTATAAAACATACTATTATGACGCTTAGACATTTTAGGCGTCTTATAAAACCAGTTCTGTTATAGTATGTTGTTTTTCCCCAATTTGAGTTTCCACATAAATCAGGTGCCGCTCTCTAACTCTTTTACTTTATCTTGTATCAAGTTTATTCTTTCCATTGGGAGACCGATATATCTTTCCGCATTACGAACATTCAAAGTGTTGAAATGTAGTTCTTGGGTTGTTGAATTTTTCTGCTTGGCTTGACGTTGTTTGATTGAGGTTGAATTGGGATTGTATGTGGCTCAACTATTTCAGACAAATGGTATCAGAATGTTCATTTAAAACTATCAAGTTAATAATGAGGAAAAAAACATACATGCTGAGGGTTTCCCTCTAGTGTCCTGTTGGTGATTGATGTATGCAATGATTTGTCAATCTATGCTATGAGCAAGTTAAGTTGTGCTTTATATGGCTAATCCGGGGAAGGACCACTAGAAGGCAATTCAATGGATTTTTTTTGGTTTCTGTTAGGTACTAGCTAGAGATCCAAGTCTGCATTTTTGGGTCTACTAGAGAGATATCAAAGGATATATGCATTATATATACGGGTGACTTGGATGGATGCCACTGTCTTATCGGGTATGTGTTCACTATGTGGTTGTGTGCCATCAGTAATTAGAAAGTGTTATCACCACCTACGATTGCTCTATCTACGACTAAGGCAGAGAACATGGTCATTAATGAGGGTTTCAATATATATATATATATATATATATATATATGTGTGTGTGTGTATGTGTGTGTTGATGATTACAAATAAACGAAATTTTTAATAAATTAACATAAATGAGTTACTGAGAATTAAGTAAGAACCGTGTTCAGTTAAATAATCCATGGAAGTCATCATCTCGGAAAACATGCCATATTATCTCAAGAATTGTGTTAAAAGATGGAAGCTGAAGATTGATCAAGTGTTCAAAGACCAAATATGAGGCAAAGCAAAGACGTCATCGGAATTTTACATACAATCAAATGGTACATAACTTAATCTCGATTTGCATGAATAATTTTTAAATTGAGGTTTTAAAAATAAATCTGAAAAGAATTTTATAAAACTTGTTTTTTTATAAAATAAATATAGGTGTTCTACCGAGTTATATGTTATAAAATGTGTTTTTATAAAATTGAAACAATTTTATAGAACTTATTTTTATAAAATAAGTACGCATATATGTTCTATCAAGAGATATTTTGTGAAACGTGTTTTTATTAAAATCAGGCCAAACTTTCTTTCAATTTTTATAGAAGTTTCGTACAAAATGTTTTTTTGAATTCAAATTTGAACAAAAATTAAAGGCTAAGGGGCTGTTTACCAAATACCTATCAGGTAAGTGTTTATCAATAAAATTTAACATTATTATTTACTTACTGGGTAAAATTTTGGTCCAGTAAGGTAATGTGACTTGGTAAGCGCTTACCCGAGTAATCGTTTGGTAAACGGCCCCTACATGTCCCATCTTATTTGAAATGAGAAATAAAAAATCTATAAACAGTGTCGCGAACGTCCGTGTAAGGCTTCCAATAGATCTTATTGGACTTTTATAACACTAGTACGCTACAACGACTAGAATTTGGAGTTGTTAGAAAAGATAGTCCGTCCACTGTAGGCTTTGTAGACGTCTGTGAAATGCATCCACCAAAATCCGTGAGTAATTTTTCCCAAAATTCTCAAGCAGTTTTGTTCTTCATTTGAATACAACTCTCTTGTACTTCAACTAGAAAATAAGGCTCTCTCTCTCTCTTATGAACTACACAAGAAACATCTTCATGTTATTCAAGTTAATGTTTTGATTTTCTAAATCAACATTCATCTTTCTTCCGTAGAGTTATTTTTTTTCACCACCCGATCTTCTTGTGAATTCACATATTGGTGTGAGTATAAACATTTCGTATTTCTTAATTCTTGAATTAAGGTAATTTATCATAAGTGTTATTTCCCTACACAAATCTTTGATCGTATAAATATTTTAGTTTTATCTCCGTACAATGTCTTCAGTGATATGATTCGCCTTTTTGTGAATGTGCAAAATATTTTATATTCGTGTTCTGATTTTGATCTCTATGATTTTTGTTCTACCTTAAATGACAACAATAGCTTTTTCTCATTTCTTAACATTTCTAGCAATATTTTTGTGTTTATGAGATTTGTGGTTATTTATTTGTGAAATTTGTATTGTGAGACTTGGTATTTCAATTTTTATAGTCATACAAATTCCTCCACTTGTATGTTTGTCAGAAGCGGTTAAATTTTTATAGTCATACAAATTCCTCCACTTGCTTGGAGGAGAAGTGGGAATGAAAATTGACCATTTTCTCCTATAGTTAATAGATTGCTCTTTCCCATTTATGGTCAATAAAAGATTTTATGTATAATTTAAAGTAGAAGTTAACTTGTAGCTTTAATCAACTCGAAGTACTTTGGTTTTTAAATGTTTA